GTCTCAGACGTGAGGCACGGGGTGCGAGGACGGGTCCAGCAGCAGCGTGGGAGAGCGGATCTGCACACGGGTCCGGCTCTGCCAGCAATGAGGTTTATCACTCTGGACAGAGCTTTTAACCTCTCTGGGATCCAGTTTTCTCCTACAAAAGCGTGGGGATTGAGCTCTGGCATTTCTCAAAAGGTGGTCTCCAGAACACCCAACCTCTAAGGTGGTCTCTTTGAATCGGGGCCAGATGGAGGGCTCCCCAGACAGGTGAGCTTGGGAGGAGGCACGCACTGAGTCTGCTCCTTGAGCATCACAGGGCAGGTGCACACGGAGAGGCCCTGAGGAGTCCGGGGCAGAGAGATGTGTCCAGCTTCCCCTGACTCAGCGCCTCTGACACTTACTTGAGAAGAGTCTGCGTCAGCCTTGCGATACCCATTAGCGTCCCATGGAAGGTGGGAGGCGCTGAGATGGCAGCATCCCACAGTCTCTTTCCCAGCGTGAATCAACAATTCCCTTCGTCTCAACACACACGCACATATATGTGTTCATATGGAGACCTCCACCTTCCAGAACATCCCATTCTTCTTCACTGGCCCAGTGACAGGAGCAGGCATCGATCATAGAAACCAGTTTCTGTGCACTTCCACGAATGCCAGCAACTTTAAAATAAGCATTTTCCTTACTTCAGTTTCTTCTGGTTAACAAAAAAAAAGACATAAATGCGTGAAGATAAAACATCAGCCATGACTTTATGCAGAAGGACTGGAGAGCCTGGGCGAGTTCTCCAGCGTCCTGCAGTGGAGGGGAGGGCTGCAGCCCAGCCCCACACCCCACACCCACCTGACACCACCAGCATCCTTTACTGGCTGCTGGGGAGAAATGAAATCAGTTTTTGTGCCACCAAATATCATTTTAAACACCCAAGATTCGTTTAGTGGTGGGAATGGGCAAACAAAAACAAAATGCAAACACTCTGGTAATACTTTTAATCCTTTTTTGTTTGTTTGTTTTGGACATGACACAATCCTTTTTGTCATTTAAAAGTCCATTTTTCCTTGTCCATTAATGCTGCTGTATCTTATCAAATATTTCTTTTTCTTTCCAAATTTACAGCTATTGGAGTTCAGAGCTATCCGTGGAATTTGTACTTCTCCCCTTATCACGGGCCCTCCCTTCTTTCTCTCACACATAAAGATTTTCCTTCTCTTAAACCAAAATATCTTCAGAACGTTACAGATCATTTGATGTGTTTCTGACCAAGCCTGTGTTTGTGAACATGTGACGTGATGAGCTGCTGGGGGCACCTGTGTTTCCAATGGAACCTGCCCATCCAGGTACCAGAAGCACGGGCAGGCGGCTGGATGCAGGTGGCCCCAGTGCGCATCTCCACGAGGATGGGATGGAGCCTGGGTTCTGAGTGGCTCAGGTTCACTCCACAGAGAAGGAAACATGGAGAAGCGTGTCCTGGCCTCGAGACCCCGATGCGGGGGGCAGGGCTGGCATATTGTCCAGGCACCTGAGCCACCGTTCACTGGCTCCATTGTGGCATGTAATGTCAGTTCCACTTTGAGATGGGCTCAGCTTTGGACAATACACATGCAGCCATGTGGAACTGGCCAGAGAGGGCCGGCTTGGGGCCTTTGCTGAGATTGGTGACCCCCCTCCTGTTCTTGACCTGCTCCTCTTTCCCTGGGGTGTGTGCGGTGTGAAATTCCCTGACCCGGGGCCCAGGCCATGGTCTCAGGAGAGATCAAAGGGCAGGCGGCCCCTCTGCCGGCTGAGGTGGGCCTTTCCCAGGCCTCCACACTGAGAGGCGCCAGGGTTTTGTTCTGGTGCAGGCTAGGCCCTGCCCGTGTGGCCGGGCGTCTTTGTCTGGCCTGAGAAGCCGGAGGCCCCTGTTGCAGACCCAGCGTTTCTCAAATGATCAAAGGCCCAGAGCCCTGGACGTGAAACCTTTCTTCCCATTTTCCTTTCTGTAAAGGAATGCGTTGCAGAAGACCGGAGAACGCCCTTCCCAAGCTTCCTGGGCAGTGCCAGCGCTGACGTTAGGGTCCTCCAGTCCTGCGTGCAGGGCCTCTGCGTGCTTTCAGCTCCACCAGCTGTGGCCGCAGACAGCAGAGCGGCACTTGTCCACACGGCCTGTCAGGGATTAAGGCCTTTGGGCCTAGTTTAAGGGCCTTTAAAAGCCAACTTGGAATAGTTGAAGTTCTTTCTCCACTGTCTAGTTTAGCAGCAAGTAGACAATGATGCAGTTTGGAATGAAAGTCAACAGGCTCATGTTCTGCAAAGGGTTGTGTGGAGGGAAAGTAGGCACCAATCTGTGAAGCGCTTGCACATGGCATTTCTGTTGCAGCAGATACGTTTCTAACTCATCGATACTAGATAAGTGCACCGGAATCTGTTTTTAGGTAGCCTATTCCTCTCTCATCGAAGGGCTTTGCTCACATGTAGCAAAAAATGTTTTTTTCAAGCAAGATATTGTCCAAGGTTGTGCTTTTTACATTTACATTTTTGTCAGTGACCTCACTTACTGAGGGTATTTTTCTACTCCCCCACAATTTTTTTTTTTGAGACGGAGTCTCACTCTGTCACCCAGGCTGGAGTGCAGTGGTCAGATCTCGGCTCACTGCAAGCTCCGCCTCCTGGGTTTACGCCATTCTCCTGCCTCAGCCTCCCGAGTAGCTGGGACTGCAGGCGCCCGCCACCTCGCCCGGCTAGTTTTTTTTTATTTTTTAGTAGCGACGGGGTTTCACCGTGTTAGCCAGGATGGTGTCGATCTCCTGACCTTGTGATCCGCGCGTCTCGGCCTCCCAAAGTGCTGGGATTACATCCCCCAAAATTTTTTAAAGGGACAAGGAGCAACCAGCACGGGGGGGGGCTCCCCAGAGATCAGGTCGGCTGAGCCTATGCCAGGCGGAGTCAGGCTTCACTCCCCAGGGGCCAGCACAGAAATGCAGTGGCCGAGAAGTGTGGCCGCGCTGCCACAGCATTCCCACCAGGGTCTGCGCCTGGGCCAGAAGGGGGTGCCTGTGGGGCCCCAGGTGCCATGGAGGCTGTGCCAAGCAGATGCCATATGGACCCCCCGCGGCTGTGATCGTTGACAAGATGCAGAGTGTATCTGGGGGGACTCATTTCTTTTGTCTGGCAGGAGTCGCAGACTGGGAATTTTGTGTTCCAACATGAATCCCCACAGCTTGCAAGCCCATGCTGGAGTGAGCTTTAAACTTCAGCTAGTTAGGAGTACGTTCCTAAGTAACCTCACGGCATGAATGTGAGTGGATGGTGGGGTGTCCACACAGGTGTAGATCCAGCCCCAGCTCTCAGACTCAGCGACTGGACCCGGGTACTGTTGTGTGTGTGGATACACATCTCCTCGCCTGTGGGGAGGGATCATTTCTGTTCTTTGTTTCCATGAATCTGACTATACTGCGCACCTCATCTAAGTGGAGTGATGCGACATCTGTGCTTCTGTGACTGGTGTATGTCACTTTGCATAATGCCTTCAAGGTTGGCCTGTGTTGTGGTGTGTGTCAGCACTAACTTCCTTTTTATGACTGACTAATATTCCATGGCACGGATGGACCACACTTTGAGGATTCATTTGGGTATTAATGGACATTGCCATTGTTTCCAGCTTTGGGCTGTTGTGAGAATTCCTGCTGTGAATGTGGATCTGTAGATGTCCACTCGCATCCCTGGAGCTGTCCCTGGGGCGGAACGGCCGCATCGACCGTAATTCTCTTTACCTCTTGGCTGTTTGATTACAGCCATCCCAGTGGATGTGAGTGGATCTCACTGTGGTTTTAATGTGCATTTCCCTAACAACTAGTGACGCTGAACATCCTTTAATGGCTTATTGGCCATTCGTGTATCAACTTGAGCAAAACAGACATTTCAAGTCCCTTGCCCATTTCTGAAGTGGGCTGTTTAGTTTTTTTCTTGTTGAATTCTAAGAGTTCTTTATACATTCTGAATACTACTCCCTTATCATATACGTAATTTGCAAGCATTTTCTCCCATTACGTCAGGGTTTTTTACTCTTTTGATAGTGTCTTTGTTACACAAGTGTTCAATTTTGATGAAGTCCAGTTTATC